TATGTAATCCCGCTTCGTAGGAGGGAAGTGGTCAAGCCTTTCGGGGTCTTAACGGCTTCAATTATCAACACCTAATTATGACCGGTGATCCTAATACAACATCGTCGGTATCAGAAGGGCCCTTTGAGCTTCCCCTCGAGCGCAGTCCCTTTCGCAAATTTGCTCTTTGTGCCCTGATAGTCCGTGTCCAGACAATGTAATCCGCAAATAGGTTGCGCTCATTTGTCCACGGTGATAAAAGTCACCGCGCCGTGTTCGTTTCTGCCATCGAATTGTCATTTGCGGCAGGTCGCAAGGTACTCGGGCTAATCTCACTGGCTTAGCTAACATGATAGATTACCCGTTCGAGGGAAATTCAACCCCTCTGTTGCACGATTTTTAATACTTTTATCTTTGTTGACTGTGTTTGTTTATCACCTGATATCGAAAGATCGGACTAAAGATCAGATAAGAATAAGAAATGTTGATTTATGAAGCTACTTCGTGATATTTCTCGCACGTCCCGTTTCGCCAGGCTCAAGTTGCGCTCAAGTTAATCCTTCAGGGTTAGTTAACGTTGCCTGTTCGTGGATTTTTACGAAGAAAATTGGAGAAACCCAGACAAAGAATTATTTTACCTGTCAATTGTCGTATCGAAGTATTTTTAACACAATGCGTGTTCTTTTAGAATTATAATACGTGTTACGTAGTTTATTCACAAAAAAAAAAGAAATACTCACCGAAATAGAAACGATCTCTATTGAGCAAAAAATTCTTTCTCACGACTTTTTCTTTTATATGAAAAGAGTAGAGAAAATGTAATAGATCATTCATCAAGAAGAAGACTTCCATCGTCCATTCGATAAGAAGTAGGCGAGAGTTTCCTTTACCTGATATCGAGCCGTCGTTCGGATGCAGATGATGATTATTATTCATAAGGGACGCGTTGTTGTTGTTCTCGCTTCCAGGAACACCGCCTGGACCGGAGCAAAGCTTCCCACCTTCGAGAACGTCGTGATCGTGTCTACAGAAGAGGCCGTCCTGTCTCAAGGCGAATTCGTCGCCAGGAACTAGCTGCCTCATGCACGCTGAACACCGGAAACACTTTATGTGATAGATCTTGCTCCTCGCCCTCATCACGTAGTCGTCCTTGCTGAAACACTCGCTGCACTTGTCGCACTTTGTCCCGAACAGCCTGCAACGAAATTTCCCCGCGTTAATGCCGCTCTTTCTAAATTCGAATTCTATTTATTTCGGAGACATATTTAGACTGAGGATAAGTAAAAAATTATTTTTTTTCGAAGGTGTTCCCATACTTGTGAACACTTTCACACACTCCATTTTCCTATAAATACATAAAAAGTGAATAATTCATAAAAAAGAAGGAAAAGAAGCTTACAAAGTAATCTGATATAACACTGAAATTTATCTAAAATTTATCCAAATTCTGGAACTACTCTACTAATTCCGCTAAGTATAAAAATTGAAATTACCACCTTTTTTT